ATATTAATTTTTGAGCATTCAGGTTTTTGGTTCATTTGTATACAGGCAATTCAGCTATGATATTTCAGGTTGGGTAGCATTCTAGTTCATGTCTTCAGTAATACTCCTTACGTTTTGCTGCTTTCCTGACTGATTCTGTATCATGCTAAGGATACCTTTCATTTCCCAAGAAAACCGGAACCTGACTAGAACTTACTCCAACTGGCACTTAAGACTCTTTCAGTCATATTTTGCAGAATACTGCTTTTTTTTTTCAGTAGTGTTACTGAAATGAGGACAAAGAGAAATTGAAAAGTAATTGAGAAAGTGACGGGAGTACTCAGATGTTGAATGTTGCAGATTTGCAGGGAAGAAGGCAAATGTAAACGTTCATTTCCCCTTCTAAAACATCAGAGAAACATAGGGTTGAACGCCTACCTTCTGTAGACAGTGCTGATTGGGCTTCAGGGGTTGTGTTGGATGTGGACTCAGGCTGAACTGCCAGACCCTCATATTCTTAATGTATCATATCAAGCATTTTGAACTATCAGGCACATGAGAGCTGAGGGTCATCATCGTTTCACAGGACTGAGTTCAGAATCTGTCATCTCTTCAAGGAGAGGTTTTACGATGGTGGGTGATTCATAACCATCTTGTTCTTTATTTCCTGCAGTTTTGAGAGTGTTGTCACGGAGAAGGCAGGCAGCACCTTCAGAAATAGTCTCATTAATGATGTTAGTGTGATAGAATTTGATATGTTAAAATGGGATACATATGTATTATTCTCATGTTTGTGGCAGCCAGTCAACAATAAATAATTCCTGGCAACCTTGTTTAGCAAAAGCTCAGTCTGTAATACGCCTGCAAGTGGTGAGTTACAACATCCTGGTTTTGGTTCAGGGTTTGGCTTGGAGTGTTTGTGAACAAAACAAGAGTACCAGAAAAAAAAGCTGAAAAGTCTTAATGGGTTTTCCTAGGAAGGAGACAAACAGTAGCTTCTGTGGTGTTTTTAAGAGCAGATTTAAAAGGAAAGCAATTAAAAATGTAAAAGGATATGAATAAGGAAATTGGATACAGGCACAAGCTGCCTCTCTCTTCTGCTTACAGCCCAGCTGTGCTGACAGGCCTTCTGTTCACTCCTTTAGATTAGCAGAGAAAGGTGCAGAAAGTGTGCAGCATTCCCCATTTGAGAGGTAAAATAATTAAATTCCCTCAGTTTGCAAAAGTTGACAGTAATGCAATCCTGCCTTCTGGCATGAAACGTAAAGGCAGAATGTCAGTCGTTTTAGCATCCTGTGGCAAATAGTTCCCTGCTCCTGTCATTAAAAAAAAAAAAAAAATCAATGAAATGCTATTCCTTTGCTGTGCACATATATATTGGGTTTTTACAACCACATGGCTCTGTGCTGCTATTACTCCTTTTGACCAAGGAAAAGTTTGTGTTGACATTCAGAGCCTACAGGTGCCATGACCAGGTAGTTTTTCATGTGTGCACATGTAAGTGTCTTTTGCCTTTTGTTTGCTGTACTTTAGTACTGGCATGAATGCATGGATTTTCACTTCAAATAAATGTGTGTGTCACAGTTTCTCTCTTCCCTTGCACCTCTCTGAGGCCAGTGCTAAAACCTGTAGGTCCTCCCTCCCCATTTAATCTGCCCCATTAAAGCTGGGGGGAGGGTGCTAGTCTCCCGTTGGGGTCAGAGCCCTCTCAGAGGGAGGCAGAGGAGCAGTGCTGATTCTACAGTGCAGTGGGTTGACTCGGCCAACATAGGCCCTGAGCTCTGTTTACAGTCTGAAGGGCTCCCCTTTCAGAGCTGTCAGATTAAACACAGTGTCACGACCATGTTTCTCCCCTTACGTGACTAGAGGGCAAGAACCTTGGATCCGTCAGTAAAATGACTTCCTGTACGGTCGTGGAAAGTATTGCTCCAATTAAGCAGCTGTACCAGACCCTGTGTCCCCTAATTAATTTCCTTTCTACTAGTTTCTGAGCTTTCTCCACCGCTGCTGTACATCAGGTTCTGTCCTTTTTAAGTTTTTTAAGATTTATGTTACTTGAAAGAACTTGCTTCAGGCTGAAATTTAGCCTGAACAGTCATTGAAGACATCTAGAAATAGATTTTCTTTCTGCAGGAGAAATGTGTTCCAAGTACAGAATTATAAATCAATAAACACAGATAATTTGGTGTTGCTGTGGGGTTTTGAGTTTGGGGGGTTATTCTCTTAAATGCCACTTGAGTGAGTAATTTGCAATGTGAATTGGTACATGGGTGTTTTCTTCAGTGAAAACATTGGTTATTAGTCATTCATCTATTTAATACGCCAATGGATCATTTAAAATAAGTTTCCTAAATTATCAAACTGAAACAAGGAAAAAGATCTGTGTCTTAATAGTTAGTCCCGGGTTGTACGTGGTAATTGTACTTATATACAATTTCACATATGTGATGGATCTCCTTAGACGTTGTTAAGATTGTGTAGGTGTGTGCGTATGTAAGTCACCTGTGAAATCAGGTCGTTTGGTCAGTGCGGCTGCAAGGAGCCCAGAGGCCTTAGTTTTGGTTAATGTCAGTGGGAACTGAGGATGGTCAGTGTCTGTGGGCAAAACAGACTCCATATCCTGAAGGCCATTTGTTTGCGTATATATCAATAGGATTTTCAAGCATGGACGCTTGCCAGCATCTCTTTGTTGTTTTAAAGAAGTATAAGGATTTGAAAATACGTTAAAATTTGGCTTCATCTCTTTACCCAAGAACAGTCTGGCACACTGAAAAAAACCTCTCTGGTTAATTTCCTTGAGTTTTTCCTGTTGCATTTGCTTCCTTGTGTTCTCTTGTGGCACTTGTTAGAGCTATAGCTGACCCTTGGCATTATTTTTCTGCTCCAGGGAGAGAGGGCAGGTCCTGGGTTTGACAGATTTTTAATTAATGCTTTGAAGACCCTGAAGAGTGTTTCCTAGGTCATTTGGTCCCCCTCTCCTTGTGAAAGAAGGACTGTTCTCTTTCAGTAGTTTAACCAATGGTTTCTGTTCATTTGAGTTTGGACTTAAGTGTTCAAGCGGGAAGACTAATGGAGAAGACCTTTGTTCTAATGTTTAGCGCTGTCAAAAGGCATTTCATGAGTTTCTTCTCTTTTCTAGGTACGGGCAGCGGATCCCTCTCCCACGCTGTCATCAGGACAGTGGCTCCCACAGGGCACCTGTACACGGTGGAGTTCCACCAACAGAGGGCCGAGAAGGCCAGGGAGGAGTTTCGAGAGCATGGGGTGGAGCACCTGGTCACCGTGACCAACCAGGATGTCTGCAAAAATGGATTTGGTGTCTCAAACATTGCAGATGCCGTGTTCCTAGATATTCCGTCTCCATGGGAAGCCATAGGACATGCCAAGTCAGCGTTAAAAGCTGAAGGTAACTGCACTTCCCTCTTTCGGTTCAGGAAGTGCTGCGCATGCACACATCTCTGCCTTTGAGCCGTACGCTTCCATTGTGTGATCACTGTTCTTAAATGTCAATGTTCTTAAATGTCTCTAGGCATTCCTAAGGCTGAAAAACCTTCAAAAGAGGTCTTCAATTTGCAGTGGAAGATTTGAAATGAGAAGAACAACTTTTTCCTACAGGCCTGTGCTAGCTGCTACAATTAGCATGGGCAGTTTATAAAAAAAAAACAAACGTTTGAACCTTTGTCAAGTGCATTTTGCTAGATCTGAAGCGTGTGGGAAGCAGCAGTAACAATAAACGTTGAAAGCAAATTTACTTGGCAATTCAGTGGAAAGGTGCATATATAAAAGGTGTTCAGACACACTTCACATCCATTATTGTAGATTTGGACCTCTTAAACAGAGCACCCCATCAGTAATGTTAAAGAAAATGTGGTTATACGTAAATAGGCTCGCCAATTTCTGCCTTAAGTCTCTCTATTGGAGCTAATGAGAAGTTTGCCGTTGGTTGCAGTGGGAATGGAACATAAAAGGCAGTTCTAGCTTATGCCAGTTGTTCCAGGATTGTGACAGCAAGTGATGGATTTCATCAGTTTATTCTAAATCTTTTCCCTATTGAAAAATAAGCTTTAGTGAATAAATCATTCTTTTATCCTGGAATAAGTTTTCCCCTAATTAATGTTATAGTAGTGTAACTATACTAGTGTGGATCTGAACTAGCTTATGCCAGATCACTTCCATCTACAAAAGTGACTTTTCTAATCACAAGAGGATGGAGTGCTGAACAATGCCCGTGCTGGGACGTGAGTTTAGTAAAACTTGATTATGTGCCAAGGCACAGGTCTTTGTTAAAATGTGTAATCACAGGCCTGACTTTAACTGAATTGCTAGGTCTTCTTGAAATGACAGGATCTAAGCTTGTTCTTAAAGGTCACTGAATGTGCGTTACCTTGCTCAGTCAGGACCGACCCAGCTGTTAGTCTACCTCAGTTACTACGGAAAAAATTCTTGAAAGCTTTAGGATACCAATGTACCACATGCTTTCTTTAAGAAGGTGAATAAAGAGAGACTTGTTAGCACTCTGTACCTGCAAGGGTTACAGCTCAATTTGTAGCTGCTTTCCAGTGTGTCCTGGGAAAAAAATAATTTTCACTGCACTGTACGATGCCCTTCCCGTGCTCAAATTATCTAATCTAGTGAGCACAACACTCAGCTGACTTCCCAGCTTAGAAGGCGCTGCATTGCGCAGTCCAATTTGAATTATTTAAGTGGCGCATGTTTAGAATACTAAGCAGAGCTGCTTGAACAGTTCCAAGCTTCAAATCCTTGGCTCACTCCAGCATTTGAAATCCTAGAAAAGGTAGTATAGTCCCAAACTGGCCATACCATCTGGCTGTACTTTTCTGTGCTATGCTTCTGTGTTACATCTGCTTAGGCAATATAAATAATACTTTAAAATCCCACATTTTTGTGTTTGTGAAGTGGCATCTTGCACTTTATGTACCAGTCAAAAGGCAAAGTTGCTGATCCTTGCTGCAGTTTTTGCTGCAAACAGCCACCAGTGTCTGAGATCTGGTGCTGGTCTAAGAGTCATCTTTTGGGTTTCATAGTACCTGAATGAGATGGGGCCATTTTTTCTATTTTGCATATAAACAAAAGCTGTTTTTCTTCTTCATATAAAACATAATTGATTGCCGTAGTATTAGGTACAAACTTACACATGTTTCTGTTTTACTCCAAATCGTGGGTAGCTTTGTTGTGGTTTTTCCTTACTCTTGTAGAATCTAAAATATGATAGAAGGGTATCTGTAACTGCTTCCCTTTCTCTGCCGCAGGCAGATAATTCGATAGTGCTCTTTTTGTTTTGAAATAGTTAAAGCTCTTCTGCACTAAGAACAGTCTGTGCCCATAGTGCTGGTGTTCACCGCTGTTCCAAGGGTTAGTATAGTGATAAAGCATCATCACTGGAGAAAATGAGTCGTTCCACTCTTTTCCCTCCACGCCCTCTCTCTCACATCTGGACAGGGTCACATTTGAACCGTTCACACTGTGGATTTTGTTGTGATGTGCCACACAAATATCGCAGCTGTACTGCCAGATAGTGGTAATTTATTCCCTAAAGTCTTAAGGTACTTTGAATGAAATGAGAACTAAGTGAATTCAATATATGGCATCAGCTAGCCTCCTCTTTAAAACCACAATTTTCATTATCGAGTGTTCAGCTGAGACTGTATGTAAGAGAGAGTTCTTAACCTTAACAAAACCTTATCAAATCAGTGTTTTCTCTCCTACTTAAGCTCAAGATCCTGAATAGTTGCAGCTCCTAGTAGGCTGAGTGTTAATGATCCTCTTTACAGAGTACATTTATCACTCACGTTATGCCTTGCAGTATGCTGTAAATACACTACTTACAGTAGCCTGGCTACTGTACATTAAAGCACTGCCAACCTCTGAAGAGCTAAAAGAATAAAATGGCACAGGAGGTTTGTGACTAGAAGGTTCTTGTTCTCTGGTGATGTGCTCTGACGACGTTCAGGCTTGCATCTCGGCTGCATCCTTCTGTGCTGATTTCCCCAGTCACACTTTCAGCAGAAATGCTGCTTGTAGGATCTCTCGGGCACTGCTGCACTGCAGAACTTGCTTTCATTTCCAGACCTGCACTGTTTTTCTTTTGCAGCATCTGCTGATTAATGCTGTTGTATAGTTATAGCTGCTGTTCCCAATACCTGACCTTGGTGGGTTTTGCAAAGTTGCTGTTAACCCTTTCAGGCTAAATTTTAAAAAATTAAGATAAATGAAAAAATGGTGAGGTAACAAAAAGATCCTCAATATTCTACAGTTCTTAAATGCCCTGAAACTTTTGACTCACAGTCATCTCACAGCTGAATGCTGTAGTGCTTTGAATATAATTCTGCACCCACCTACTCTAATCTTCTAAATACTGTTTATTTCTTCCAAGGCTGTGGAAGATGAAGCAGAAACCCATTTGTACAAAAATTTTCATACAGATTGTAAATTTTCAGGTAGGGAGATGGAAAAATACAGCCATATATTAGGTTGGATTGGCCTCTTGAATTATAAATCAGTCCTTGGTGGTGTTTAAATTAACAGTCTGAGTCACAAAATTATTAAAACCACCCCTCTTTTATTTCCTTTCTTTCTTTTAAAGATCTAACTTAAATTCAGACTTGCCACTCCCTCTTGAGCCCCTAAATATATGAGTTTGTCAAATTGTGATCCTTGAGATATCACCTGGATCAGGTAACAGGGTGCTGTCAGGCCTCCCCCAAAAACTCTGCAGGGAAAGTTCCCTCTGGACATCTCCCTGTTTGGGCCTCTGCATTTCCTGCCGTCGCAGAAGCCCTTCAGCAGTGCTCTGCTCTTTGTAACAGGAGTTGGGTTTCGGTCTCATATTTGTTTCGTTTGTACATAATGGACTTAAAACACATCTTGTTTGCGTTTTTTCCCCTTAGCATAGCCATTGGTTGTTGTCCTAGCCTGCCAGGTTTGGTTATTACAGGTGCTGTAGATAAGAATAAATAATAACTCATCTTCCCAGTAGCCTGTGGTCAAGCAAGGCATTGCCTGGTTTAGGTAGTTTCAGTTTTCATTTGGGCTTGCCTCCCTCCTCCCCTGAGCTTTCAGGGGATACCACATCCAGGTAGAAAGTCTCACTGGTTATTTTTCATTAGCCCCAGAGGTTATTCATGGTCCTGTTTTTAAACCACCCAGGTATGGCTTTGAGGAGCAGCTGAAATCCCAGGCCACAAGTCTCACCTCTGTGGTATCTGGGCAGGGAGTACCCCGGGCTGAATCACACTAAGAAGAGGGCAGTGACATCAAGGCTGATGTTTGGGCTTGGACTACCTCAAGAACACACCAGGAAGGTGTTAGGGCTGGAAGTGGAGCCTGACAGTCTACCACACTATCTTCCTCCACCCATGCAGGTGGTACTCAAGCCAGTATTGATGCTTCTCATGTCCCCAGGAGATTGTTTTGGAACAAATGGATGAAGCAGTAAGTGCTTGCTAACATGTCCACACCAGCCTTTGCTAGGGTGGTACCTGCTTTGGTTCGAAGGAGAATTAACTCAAGGTAGCGTTAAAGATCCACAAACTAACTTTAGATTGAAGCATATCCTCTCAACATTGAGGGGCCATCTGGTCTAGTGCAGAGGTGCCCCACTAGGATCTAGAACCAAGTGCTGACCTACAAGGCAGCTCCATCTGGTTCCCAAGCACTGGCTGTTTGCTGAGCCAGCCCTGGTAGTTGTATCTCGTTGGAGGGCATTAACCTAGCTCTGGTCTGATTGGTAGGTCAGGTGCACACGATGGGCCTGGCCTGAAGTAGAAGTGATCCCCTCCCATGTCAGGAACCAAGCAGAACCAAGCAGAAGGCTTCCTGCATCTGTAATCCATGCTGTGGGATGCCAGCCAAAGCTATTGGCCTTTACATGCTTTGTAGGAAGTAGTTTGGGATGAAAGGATCCTTAAAGGAAGTTGTTAGGTTTTATTCCTCGATTTGGAGCCAACTGATTTTTTATCTTCCTTGTTGCATGCTTTTGCCAGCCCATAATAGTGAGCAGGAATAAAGTCCTTTTGAAGGATGCATCTACAGATGTAGAGGTTAAGGTCACATTTGCAGAAAATCACATCGATCTCCTATTAATGAGCTGGTGAGTAATTTGTAGAAAATTTTCTTTTCTGAATCAAGAAACATCCTTTAATTTCTTCTAACAGCTGAATCCTCTAATTTCACTTGTCAGGGAAGCTACATCAAATCACCCACGAGCACACTCGCTTAAAGGACGTTCTGTCCCCTTTTACAGAGGCAATATTTTTAGTGTCCTACTAGCACAGAGTAAATGCCACGGTGATGCTGTTCAGTGACTCTCCTGCCTCGCCCCTACATAATGATAATGCCTGTGTGTTTTTTTTATTTCCATGAGATCTTTGTAACGTAATCTTCCAGTTATGACAATGCACTGAAGTCCCAAAACCCAGAGCTGTGTTCTTTTATCAGAGATGAAAATGCTCTGTTGTATTCTTTACATCACAGAATAATTTCTAAAATTACAGGCCATTTTCCCTGGAACTCGATGGTGCTGCACTACATATATTCTTTTTGCATCTTCTGAATAATACTGGATTGATGAAAAAAACCTGATGGAGCGCTTGTGACACATACTGTGACCTAGAGAAGTGACAGCACATAACTTGGACCTGTTTTCTGTGTCATAAGCATGCACCGGAGTTCTTGTCGATTGGGTAGCACTGCCAGATTTTCCATACTTGAAACCTGATGCAGTTATTAGCTAAATAGAACTGGTAGAGGTGTTAGTGCTTGCTCAGAAAAACCAGAAACGAAATTGTTTGTTGGAATTGCACAGGAACATACCAGGAACTGCTCTTGAAGGGGGAGCAACTTTCAAGGCACTGATCTCGTGTAAAGATGCAAGGGTTTGATTACTAATTAGATTGCTGTCTGTTAAAATGTACAGTGCTATGTGGATGCCAATCTTCTATTTCACCCTTCCCTTAAGCTCTCTTCTCTAATCATTCCAGTCTGAATTGTACTTCAGTTTTCCTATCCTCTCGACCCTATTGCTGGTTACAATGGCTGCCAGGACTGTGTGGGCTTGTTCCAGCCTACGGGTTTGGGAGATTTAACCTCTCCATTAAATGCTTCAAACTAACTCAGTCCCTGTAAAATTGAAGGTAGAAAAAAATGTAAGTCTTTCACAGAGTCTCATTATTCTCTTCTCCTCAACTGTAGCACTTGTCAGATGCATTATACATGAATAAACACATTTTTAGACAGCTCTTCAGATCAAAAAGCTCACACAGCTTCCCAATGTGAACAGGATTAATCTCAGATAATTACTATATCAATTTATGATGACACACAGATCTCATTAACCAAATTTAGGAACGGTAGCTTTCCTTAAAGGAGAGCTCTGAAAGAACACAAACTCAGTTTGTACTAAAAAGTTTCCGTTCAGTTGTTTTCACTTGCTCTTTAGTCTAGTCCACCCCTTTGTGATACACAGACAGAGCGGTGTGCCCCAGCAAGCGGAGAGGGAGGGAGTATGTGTCTTTTCTTCATTCACTAAGGAATCCTTGGCATGGCAAGACAAAGCAATGCATATTCAAGTCCTTTAAGCCCTAAATGCCTCTTGATGTCTAAAGGACAAGAGGGCTCTTAGAGAATCTGAGAAATTGTGAAATCTGAAATCTAGATTTAGATCTGTTTGGTGAGTGTGACAGAAAGGGTATTGCCTAGCTGGTATCCAGCGGGGGTACAGAGGGCAGCCCACAGTGTAGAGAATTCAGAAGCATCTGGTCTGTTGAAGATGGTGGCGTCTCTGCCCCTAGAACAAATGAGCGTGTCCTGAGCGCTGATTTTCTGCTGCTCAGGGTCCACTTTTTTTGCTGGTCTAAACACACCAGGGCAATTGAGGCTTCCCCAGTCTCTCTATTTTAGACAGCCTCCAGCAGTCTGGAACTGCAATTTCATTTTTGCCTTCCAACCTTTTGCTAATTGCAGCTTTCCAGTCTTCTCTTAATATCTGCTTAATCAAACAAGTTTGGCCTGCAAGTCATACCCAGCCTGCCTGATGGTGTGTGCAGGAAAAAGCAGAGGGGACCCCTCTCCCACTTGTTAGGATCCGTAAAGACAGATGCTCGGTGTTTTTGCTTCTAAGCTATTTGTAGGTATATTTCTTTGGGAGGAATATATAATAATAACCAGAAGAATAGGTATGAAAGGGAAAAAAATGAAATTGGCAGAACTACTAAAACCCCCTGGATGTTCTCAGTTATATGGAATACCAGCTGTTAGGCCGTTTTCTCAGTTCTTCATACCTGAGAAGCTTCCATCAGTGCAGTAAGTAAAGTCACATTATTTTTTGTGCTTCCCCTCTGGATATTAGCTGTTGCAAGCAAGAGCTTTCTTCCCTGCTAAGCGGCTTGAAAGCCTATTTTCTGTAACTCTGCTTCCCCAAGCAGCCCGCTTCGCAAAGAGGCGGTCTGATAAATCATCACCAAGTTTGGTGTTGATACACTGTGCTCAGCTGACCATCCCAAAGCAAAGTGAAGGGTGCTCTGCCTTTAATTGAAGGCTTGACAGGGAACCGTAGGCGGCTCTGCAGCTTGTATGGCAACAGCTGTGTGCAGGCTCCTTAGTTTTTGACTGTAAATCTGGAGCATGTGAATTCAAAAGCCTAAACATATCTTGAAACCCTTGTAGTCAGAATAAATAAGAACAAACTTACTGTAAATGTAAATATATTTCCCTTTTTTATTGCAATATAAAACACTAAAACCAAAAAGCCTGAATGAAATAGTAATAAGTCTCTGGACTTTCTGCAAATTCTTGCTTTGCAGACAAAGAGTTATTGTGAACTGACAT